ACTAACCGACGCGAACCTTCAAGTAAACACCCCTAAACCCCTAAACCCCTAACCCCTAAACCCTAAACCCCTAAACCCCTAACCCCTAAACCCTGAACCCTAAGCATCTCCATCCCGACGCTCCAAAAAATGGAAGAACCTAAACCCTAGACCTTCAACCCGAACCCGAAGTCCTGAAACCCTGTCTGCCAGGCCGAAATGCTACTGTAATGTAGGGGCCTTAATGATTAGAACAGGGTTTAGGGTTTAGGGTTTAGGGTTATACTATAATTATAATAAGGAACCCCCAAAATAGTATAGATATTTATGAAAGCCCCTATATTAAACCTCCCTAAAGGCTCGACAAACGCCACATGGCGAGATGCTCTAAGAGCCTTGCACCCCGAGGTAGGGGTACTGACCACAGGGGATTAGTATGGGGGCTTCATGATTAGAATGGGGTTTGGTGGTAAATTATACTCTAATATTATACTCTAACTTTAATAAGGAACCCCCAAAATAGTATTGGCAATTATGTAGGCTGTTATATTAGTGTGGGCATATTCGAAGCCTTGCGGCTTAGCGATCCCTTGCAAGGGGACTGTCATTCGCCTGACTGCTAACTACGGTTGATGATACAAATCCCGCATTGTTTTAAGGACCCTAAACTGGGGAGTTATGGTATCATCCTTATTATGGGTAGCAGGATTTGTATCATCAACAGTCCCTAAACCCTACACCCTAAACCCTAAACCCTAAACCCTAAACAGTATCTCGAGGATAGCCAGTCAAGCCTCAAGCAGCCGACCTCAAGACTGTGCAGAAAGGATGACGTGTCTGTCAGCTCTGTACCCTCGTGCGACGAACCTGTTTAGGGTTTAGGGGTTTAGGGTTTAGGGGTTTGGGGCTTAGGGTTTAGGGTTGAGGGTCTGATGCCAAACCGAAGCCTGGTGCTACATGCTCCAGAGCTTCAGTGGAGAGGGGGCCTGAAGCCTAAGCCCTGAACCCTACAGGACCGCAGGTGGGAGCTAGGACTAGGGGGACCCTTGGGGCTATAGACCCTCTCAATAAGATCTCTTTTAAAGAGAGCCAAAAGGTAGGGTTCAGAAGGGGTACCCTTTAAGAGGTACCCCCTAATAATACTACCTAACAGGTGCCGAGGGCCGTACAGGGCCTCAAGTTCTGAAGCTCTTGGCGAGTGGCCAACGGATGCAGGTTTAGGGTTTAGGGTTCAGGGTTTAGGGTGTAGGGCTTAGGGAGTCAAAGTGCTTCCTCAACCTAAAAAACCATACAACACACAAAAATGCTGGAAAAGGGCCGCCCATCGATAAGACCCCCATGGTAGTAGCAAACCTAAACCCTAAACCCTAAACCCTAAACCCTAAACCCTAAACCATAAACCCTAGGGCTGGCCTTCTTCAGCAGGTTTCTTTCCAACCTGGCATCGGTCAGGGCGCAAGGCGCAGGCGGGGTAAGGTTTAGACATCTATAACCGATTGAAGATTTAGGGTTTAGGCTTAGAGTTTAGAGTTTAGGGCTTATGGGGTTTAGGAAAAAAGACCATGTCTCGGATACGATGAGATACTAGTTACTAGGCCGTTCCTCACTATGACTTGAGGTATCGATGCTCTGGTTCATAGGGCCCCGTCGGCTCCTCGAACCCCCGATGCACAGGTTGGAATGCAAATGTAAAGGTAGTTCTTTTAAGTTCGGGTCCCGTTTTTAGGGTCCTTTTTTATAAGGGTGCCGTACTATTTGGGGGGCCTAAAAAGGGACCCTAATTTAGAGAACTACCCACTGACCTGAAAAGGTATTTTGGACCCGTTAATTATGTACTTTATGCCTGGGTGAACCCTCAACCCCAAACCCACATCCCTAGAGCCCTGATCACAGAGCTTCAACACAAGCCGTAGCTCACGACACCAAGTCGTCATCCCGCTTTCGAAGCTGCCACATCTTGGCTTGGCACAGGCTTGGCAGTAGGGTTTAGGGTTTGGGGCTTCGGATCTAGTGCGCAGGGCTGGTGGCAATGAAGGATAACAAGAAAAGGAACAACGGCAAGCACAGTAGCAATAACAGTAACATTCAGCCTACGACAGGCATCAGCGAGCAACAACAAACAGAAGCACTAGCTCCAACAGCAACAGAACGAGCAACAGCATCAACAATCGGAATGCAGGAACAACAAAACAGTCCGTGTAGAATTGCTAAGGCACATGATGAACACAATGATGCCGGCGATCGTTCTCATCCTCTGAATGATCTCCGTCATAAAGGCTAGCGAAACAGAAGCGAAGGAAGCACGGTCGTCGCTTTGGCTAAAAACAACCCTGTCAGCAATAGTCCGCACAAGCATGACAAGGACGGGCATCACGTTCACCATCACTGGGTACACATATACTAAACCCAAAACCCTGATCACTGATCCCTGACCCTCAACCCTGCATCCCAGATAAATGGCCATTACCTGCTCAGCGGTCTTAGAGAACCCACTTAAAACCCCTTACAACAGCAATCTGGACACACTACAACCTCTCATAAACACCCTTATCAAACAACTGTAAGACCCGTCTAACATCCTTTCGAAAACCCTACAAGCCCTCACTTAATGTAGGGGCCTAAATAATTGCCTATATTATTTGGGGGGTTCTCTTAAAAAATCATGGTATACTGGGCCCCAAAAACTAGTCTAATTATTAAGACCCCTACTATAGAACCCTATTGTAGATCCCTTAAAAGAACCCTTTAAAGGAGCCCTTTCAAGGAACCCTATTCTAACTATGAAGACCCCCTATATTAGTATCCAACCATTGAGGCGAGCACGGACACGGCCAGCGGCCGAGCAGGTGCAGAGTTGGTTCTCCCGACGATCTCGAGGACAGTCTGCGCAGGCCAAGCCATGAGTTGGCGATTTAGGGGGTTTAGGGTTTAGGGTCTAGAGTTTAGGGTTTAGGGTTTAGGGTTTGGGGTTTAGGGTTTAGGGTTTAGGGTTTAGGGATGAGTTGGCGATTTAGAGCTTAGGGCTTCCTGGGACTCTAACCCAGGCCCCCAAGAGGATCTAAAAAACAGATCCCCTAATTAGGGACCCTAACTACTAAAGGGTACTTTATAGGAACTCCCTTAGGGGATCTACTTTTTAGATCCTTTTGGGGGTTTGGGAATTACCTACAGTTTTATGGGTTCTACCTACAAATTAAGGGGCACTGGCTGCTAAACTGTAAGTAAGGAGAGTTACAGGTTAGGGCTTAGAACTTAGTGTGTTTCGAGTGTAGAGTTTCGGGTTTAAGGGGTTTAGAGATTAGGATTTAGGATGGTTTAGGTTTTTGGGTTTAGGGTTTAGGGTTTAGGGTTTAGGGTTTAGGGTTTAGGGTTTAGGGTTTAGGGTTTAGGGTTTAGGGGTTTAGGGTTTAGGGCACAGGGCCTGGGATTGAGCGTCTAGAGTTTAGGGTCTGTAACATAGGACCTGAATACTTGGAATAGGCTTTGGAATAGGCTTTGGAATTGGGGCCGGTATGGTCTAATCTACGAGAATAATCCGTAACCCTAAATAAGGTCACTACTTATTCCGACTTAACCCTAAACCCTAAACTTAAACCCTAAACCCTAAACCCTAACTTATTCCTACCCCTATAATAAGCACAGCCTCCTGCTCAAGCAGCTTCCTTCAAAACAGCGAGCTAAGTAGAGTATACATGTGTAGGTTTAGGGTTTAGGGTTGAGTGCTTAGGGCTTAGACTTAGGAAAAATAGTTCAACTACAGGACCTGGTGAGCCTCAACCTCTGCTTCTTCACGACTCTTTGCTTCCATTGCCCTACTTCTGCCCTCCGCAGAGACATATCGAAGACCCCGCCTAAGCCCTAAACCCTAAACCCTAGACCCAAGAAAGCTCTTTCTTCTCGCAGATGCTCATCAGGCCAGTTTCTATCCTATCCCGCCTGGTGTCCGCGGGCAGCTTGCGCAGTCACCGAGGCTAAGGATTTTGGGACGGCGTAGTGTAGCGGCCTTAATAATTAGAATAGGGTTCCTTAGGGTTCCTTTAAAGGGATCCCTAACTATTCTACTATAGTTATAATAATAATTAGAGTAGGGTTCCTTTATAGGGATCCTTGAATATTCTACTATAGTTATAATAAGTCAGGCCTCTACATTCGTGGGTTTCTAGAGAAGTGCAAGGCAAGCAGCAGAGCTAGGGGACTTCAAACAAAGCTCGAAAATGATACCTGCACTGAAGACTCCAGTTTGGAGCAGCTCCACCAGAGTGTCACTCGGCCTCGTAAGGCGGAAGATTCTTCCTGAATTCACCTTGGCTGACTTCTGAACCCCTCCAAAAAGTTAAACCTTTAGTCTCCTTATTATAGTTATATAGATACCCAAAAAAGTTAAAGTCCTAAGAGCCAACCAGAAGAACACCAAGTCACCTGAGGCATGCTGCACGTCTCTCTCAGAGTCCCTTTTGGGCACGATAATATTCCACAAAATCGTCCAGTACCACAGGCCATGCCGGGTTCTCGTCGTAGGTGGATAGATCCGCTGGGACTTCGGTCGCCAGCTTTAGGACCATCATCCACAAATCCCGGGGAATAGCTCTCGCTTTCATGTTCTTGGCGGCCCAGTCCTGAAGACTTTTTCCCGGAAGACTGGACATGAAAACACGAAAACGACGTGCCTTGCAGCGCGAAGACCGTGACATATCAACAACTAGAACTCCCCTGCCACGTGACCCTATGATACCGGAAGCTGAGAGGCAAGAGTCTGAAGATGGACACGCAGAAGCTGGGCCTAACCGTGACTGACATGACGCCTCAATTGGCACGGCCTGTTCTTGCCTGCATCGTAGATGTAAATCAAGCCTTCAAGCATACCTGAAATAGAACCTAACATAAGCACCGCCGAGATTCGCAGAAATCCTCTCGCAGGGACCAGTTGGGTAGGAGCAGGGCCCAGTACTGCGCTGCTTCCTCCAATGGAAGGACCTTGCAGAGTTGACTTTCATGCGCTCTCTCATTAGGGTTTAGAGTTTAGGGTTTAGGGTTTAGGGCTTAGGGTTCAACCTTTAGCACTTTTTCCACTGTGACCGACCATCGTAACATCACGTATGGTGAGCTGATTACTTGTGGCAGCAGTTCCTGCTTTTTCTTCTGCTTCTTCTCATTCTGGCTATTCGCACCATGACCGACACAATCAGTCTGATAGCGTTCCTATTCATGGCGCTACTACAGCGCATGGCTTTGTCATAGAGGATTTTTTCAACAGTAGTAGTCTAGGAACTACCCCCGTACTAGGAGTGCTGGTTTTATCATGCTTCGTACTGCCTACTCGATCGTGGCAGCTTCGGGCTTCTGCAAATCCTCCGCTACTGCCACTCCGCCTCCTCCTCCTGCTGTTGATGATATAAACCCTGCATTACCTTAGGGACCCTAAACTATGGGAATTATCGTATATTCCTTATTATGGGAAATGCAGGATTTATATCATCAACCGTACTACCACGACCACGACGACTACCACGACCACTACGACTGCGACGACGACTACGACTACTACGACGACCAGCATCATCTGCTTTTACCAGCTCTAGCAATATATGGCAACGACAATGAAATTAACAACTTTTTCTGGTCCAGCGCCCACTGTACCACCAGCATGACAATCTTTCCCTCTATCTTCAGCTTAACCTTTATCTTCGTCGTCTTTGGAGCTGTGGCTCTCGAGACCGAATCCTCTGCCCCAAACGGGTGCAAGATGCTTCTAGGGTTTAGGGTTTAGGGTTTAGGGTTTAGGGTTTAGGGTTTAGGGTTTGGGTTGAAAGACAAAGGCTAAATCCTAGAACCTGCGGCTACCCGACGGTACGAGGCTACGTCCCCACCCCGAAGCTAGCGGCCTTGCAGGGAGGATCCAAGGCTACCCCGAAGGTGTAGGTGTAAACGTCTGCGAGGGCCTGTCCAGAAACTACCTGGCCGACCGTGTAGGGCTTTGGAATTGGGACTTAGGACCCTAGGGCCTTGCCCTAAACCCTAAACCCTAAACCCTACACCCTAAACCCTAAACCCTAAACCCTAAACCCTAGACCCTAAACCCTAAACTACACCCTAAACCCTAAACCGGCTTTGGGCTCTTGGAATCGAGTTGGACCTTGCTAGCTCCCAGGCTCGGGTTTTGGGTTTCGGGTTTAGGGTTTAGGGTTTAGGGTTTAGGGCTTCCGGTTGTCGGCATCAAGCAGTATCAGATTTTAGGGGCGTTCTGGTCGGGGCTGACATGAGGGAAGCCGCCTGGGGCGCTTCCAGATACAAACAGCAATCATTTTTCTGAGCACTACTGGCCACAGAAACCGATAATCCTAGCAAACCTGCTTTACCCAGAAAGTCTTCCAAATGGAAACTAGCTTGGTCAAGTCGGCTAGCTACCCTGAACCCCTAAACCCTAACCCTAAACCCTAAACCCTCAACCCTATACCCTAAATCCTAAACCCTAAACCCTGAACCCTAAAGGCGGCGGTCAAGAGTTTGGGGTTTAACAAGTAGGGTTGAGGGTTTAGGGTTTGGGGTTTAGGGTTGAGGGTTTAGGGGTGAGGGTGAACCCCGAACGCACTCAGATTCCACCAAGCCCTCAACGATTGGGTTTCGGGTTTGGCATTTAGGGATTAGGGGTTTAGGGTTACGGTTTAGGGTTTAGGGTTTAGGGTTTAGGGTTTAGGGTTTAGGGATCGGGAGCTGGGGAAATCCCTAAATTCGATGCCCAGGCCAAGATACCAAACCACCGGCCGGAAATTTCCAAGAAAAACGAAACCCTTCTGTGCACGGCATGACCTGCCTCCTTAGTTTCCACATCATACGGTGTTGCTACTTACATGGATGCTGAAGAACAACAGCAGATTACAACAGAGATAAGACAATATGCTGCAGATCTGGATGTCGCTCTATGAACACCTGCTGTGTGAATGAGGCAGCAGCAGCAGCAGCAGCAGCAGGAGCAGCAGCAGCAGCAGCAGCAGCAGCAGCAGCAGCAGCAGCAGCAGCAGCAGCAGATGCAGTAGTAGTACTAACAATAACAAGAACAAATAATAGCAGTAATGATCATAGTAATGACACCTCATGAAGTCTCGCTTAACCCTGGAGAGCTGTGCTTCTACATATTCTGATTGTGCAGCGAGTGCGTTCATTTACAGCCAACATCTTACGACAATACTTCACCCGCAATAAATAAACCACAGTCTGTCAAGGAGGATGATACAAGGCATCAGAATATTCTGGCTTTCAAAGAACGGGTGCATTGAGGAGGGGTCTACATTAGTAGTCGCCTGTCCGTCTTCTAGCGATGCGTCATAACTCTAAGTTGTACGAACGCAGCAAATTGTATGTCTATATTTGCATTGTAACTGGCATCCTGCGAACATGTCAGTGGTGTTGTTCGTGGCTGGCAGTAACTACCGGCACTGCCACTGCAACAAAACCCCAAAGAGTCCTGACCCTAAACCCTGAACCCCTAAACCCTAGACCCTAAACCGTCCCTAAACCCCGAGAGTCCCGGACCCTGTATCATCCCATTTTGCGGGACCTGCTCTCGGAGCTGCGCCATCTTTGTCCGCAGGTCCGCGATGTTGTCGACCTCGAGGGCGGCACAACCACAGATGAACCTCAGACTGCAGTTTGAGGGGAAGGGTTTAGGGTTTAGGGTTTAGGGTTTAAGGTTTAGGGTTTAGGGTTTAGGGTTTAGGGTTTAGGGCAGATGAACCTGAGAAAAAGGCAGGCGGTTGAGGTTTAGGCTTTGAGACGCAGGGTTTAGTGTCTAGGATGGTGGGCTTCTGGTTTCGTGGTCTCAAAATTTAGGGTTTAGGGTTTAGGGTTTAGGGCAGAGGCGTACTGGCAATGGTTGTCGTCTGGGCCTCAAACTTCGCAACGCACGCATGCCATCGCGACTACTATCATACTCATCATCAGCACAAGTCTCTTCCTCATCTCTCGCATCAGAATGTGACCCTGAACCCTAAAACCTAAACCCTAAACCCTAAAGCCCTAAACCTTAAATGAACTGCGATGCCAGCCTTCCTTCCCTTTCGGCTTTCAAGACTCCCGGGTATAGGAGCTTCTGATATATTTCAAGGTGGAGGGTTGTTGGCGGGGTTGGGGTCAGGAGTTTGGCGAAAAATTACACGTGCTTGCTGGGTGTCAGGAAAGCGATAGACGAGCTTTCGGTGATCCGCTACAGCCGCTACAAAGCCAACGGCGGCCCAGCAAAGCCTTGAGACACTGCACCCGCCAGAAATCCAACGAAGGGAGTATCAAGAGCGGCTGGGATTGCGTACAAGACTAAAAAAGCCATCACTGCAAGCCCAAAGACCATGCCCGTCACACTCAATGTTGCAATCCCCGATGACGCCCCTGAACCCCGAAACCCTGAACCCCCAAACCGCAAATAGCAAACCCCAAAGCCCTACGCCTTAACCTAATATTGCTACTGTCCTAAACCCTAAACCCCCTAAACCCAAAGCCCTGAACCCTAAATTTCTAAATCCTAAACTCTAAACCCTAAACCCTAAACCCTAAACCCTAAAACCCTAAACTCTAAACCCTAAACCCGCCCAGTGACTCCCGCCGACGAAAGACGCCCATCTCTGCGGCGTTGCAGGCAGATGCCAGGGCCAGAGCAGCGACATCGGTCCCAGGATCCACCTCACACAAAGGGTTCAGGGAGTCAGGGTTTAGGGTTCAGGGAGTCAGGGTTTAGGGTTTAGGGTTCAGGGTTTAGGGTTTAGGGTTTAGGGTTTAGGGTTCAGGGTTCAGGGAGTCAGGGTTTAGGGTTCAGGGTTTAGGGTTTAGGGTTTAGGGTTCAGGGTT